ATTAGAATAATCTCAAGGTATCGCCTTAATGTGCAATGAGCACTCTGCTATGCACTTGGCTGATAGCAGACATCTTTCCTTTTTCTCCATCTTTGCTGGTTTTGTTTCATATGTATTCTCTATTATGTTTCACCGTTGGCTGTATATTATTTTATTGATTTGGAATTATTTACTATTGCAGAGCACTTAGCCATGATTAGGTAACAAAGGGCAGAGGCTGCTAAGAAGAGAGAAGAAGAAAAGGCTGGTATGGTTTTATATTAAAATGCATGCCTTATGCTCCTCCGTTTCATCTTTCCTTACTGGTTAATTTCTAAATATTCTGATCTAAAGAAAGCTATTTTGCTCTAACTCTTTATTTTTTCAAAGTACATGTGTCAGACGCTCATGTCTGATGCATATTCGAATATGACCCTTCAAATACATTTTTTCTTTAAATTGAACATGAATGTAAGACGTATATTCGTGGCTGAAACTTGAGCCTGATTAACGTAAAGAATAAGAATCAGTTTTTTTTTTTGGGTGGAGGCATGGGGGAGAATAAAACAAAAACTTAAGAATATACCTTGCGTATACATGTTTACAATTTCCATTGAAGCTGATTTTAATTCTATTTGTTCTTGCAGCAAAAGAACAGAAGAAAGTAGAAGTTCGTAAGAGGACTCATTATGACTAGTATGGGTTTACCATCAGCTCTTTTCTCTGTTTTAAACTACAAAGTTTTTATCCCATTAAAGGAAAATTTCAAAGTTATAGACACCATAAATTTCCAAAACTTAGTTCCACTTCTTCGCTGCTTTTGGATCCTTGTCGAATTAGAATTACATGCTGGTTGTTTATGAATGGAAGGAATGATAAAACTTGTTCGGCAAACATGCTAATTTCGAGTACAGGTAAAGGATACGTGCATGCTTGTATGTGTGTACGTAAAGAAACAAGGGTTTGCGAGGAAGTATCTTAAGCTCCACTCACCCATAAGGTTTCTCGGGGCGGTGATATTTAAAAAATGAGCCATATACACAGGGAGAGAGGTAAGATCCGATTATCTTTTATATTATATAAAATTAAAATTTTATTAAATATTATATTTAATAAAAATTTGGGTTTGCTTTGGGGAAGGAACTTAGAGCATATGAGTCACCACGCAAATTATTTAAGCGATGAATGAAATGTTATAAAAAAGGAAAAAATTCAGGTTCATTGATCCTTAAATCCTTACCAAATAAATGAAAAAGGGAAAATATTTAAAAATAAAGAAAATAATAGAGGAAGTTGAAGAAGATGTATGTAGCCTTTAAAATCAGACAAAACACAGCACAATAATCCAACCTTATTATTTTCTGGGGAATTAAGGAAGTGAAAGAATCTGATGTTAGTTTACAGATTGAAGCAAGAAGATACCTTGTCAATTAGAATACTCCATTTCGATTCTCGTTTGCACTATCCCCCCCCCCCCCTTTTGTCACTTGTGCTGGATACCTTTTATTTTTTAAAAATAATTTTGTCGAAATCACATTTTAAACCCGCAGAATCAAATACATTGTTTCTATGGGTTGTCTCAAATTATAATGAAATATTAAATCAGGGAGAGGACCCACATGCAAAGATGTGCTTTAAATTGAAAGCTTTTTCATTTGAATTTGAAGAATATGCCTTTTTTGCTATTTTATCATCTTCATTCTTCTTACTTTCTTTATATATATATATATATATATGCTTAAATGCACCATTGCCCCTTAAACTATACGTATTTATCGAGTTACCCCTTAAAGTATAAATCGTTACCTCATTTGTATCAAACTGTTAACTATATCAAAAAATACGTGGGTAATTACATATTTAGTCATTCCACTATTTATGTGGTTGTATTTGATTACCTAACTTTTTTTTCCTTCAAAATCATCACTAAACTTAAGTTTTTGTTACATTTTGATCACCCAATTTGATTCAATTTGCATTTTAAATTTTTTATGTATAAGAATTCGTTTATATTATATTTTTTTACTCGACACATAAATTTAAAATAAGTAATATTATAAGATAAATAATAAATAACATATTAAATTGTATGTAATTAAAATTCTATTAAATGAAATATTATTTATTTATTTAAAATATCATAAATGAGAATTGCACAACGTACGAATACTGACTTTAGCAACTTTTGGAGAAATGGTAAAAAAATATATATTTTTTCACACAAAAAAATGATTAGTTGCATCACTTTCGGTAAAAAAATGGTGTGCCTAAGTAAACCTACTCGACAGGGATCAGGTAGCAGCCTCCTAATTTCATGCATCCAAACTATTTTCTTGCTGTTAGCACATACATCATCAATAGCACTACAAAAAATTACGAGTATAAAATATAAAAATCATTTTTTAAGTTATGAGATTTGATTTTGAAATAAAAAATATATTAATTATATTTTAAAAATTTTAAATTACATATTTTTCGAGAGTTTTTATGAAACCAAACAAACTCATCGTTTTCCTCTTATTTCTTTCTCGACATTCCTTTCTCATATTTCCCCGACCTTCACCGTCGCTTGCACTATCTACACCGCCATCGATCGGAGTTTTTAAACTTTTTAAAAAAAACTTTCTTCTTTACAGGTATTTTTATGTTTCTTTTTTCAAATATTTTCTCTTTTATTTTAATTGTTTGAAAAGCTAGATCTTGTTATGAGAAAGCACTAGCAAAAGCCCAGATTCTAGCTTGTTTGGGGTGGATTTCTTAGTAGCTATTTTTTTTTTTTGCTTAAATTTTGGTTTGGTTTCAACTTTTTTTTGTTGTCAATTTATTATTTACGTTACATATTATTTGCGTTATATAAAACTTAATATATTATTTATTATTCATTTTATAATATTACTTATTATTGAAAAATAAATTTATGTCTCGAGAAAAAATATAATATAAATGAATTCTTATACATTAAAATTTTTTAAAATAAATTGAATTAAATTGGGTGATCAAAACGTAACAAAAACTTATGTTTAGTGATTATTTTGAAGTAAAAAAGTTGGGTAACTCAAACAGAACCGCATAAATAGTAGAGTGACTAAATATGTAATCTACCTGCGTGTTTTTTTATGGAGTTAACTGTTTGGGGACAAAAATGTAACGATTTATACTTTAGGGGGAACGTCCCAAAAAATACTTTAAGGGGTAATTCGGTAAAAATGGTGTAGTTTAAGGGACAATGGTCATTTAAGCTATATATATCATGTGAATACAATATAATATTTGTTCAAAGTTTTTTAATCTGATAATAATTATTCATATCCCTACATACATGGTCCTCGAATCTGGAACCTCAATAAATAATAACAAGTCTCTTAACCATAGATGTCACTTAGTAAACTATATGATAATCAATGTAGATAAACTTAGGTTGTAATTATATCTGAGTAAACAATATGTTTACTATCTAAACTGTTACTTTTGTTATATTTTGGTATCTAAACTTTATTTTTTTTAAATTATACTTAATGTTTAGTTTAGGTTTCAATTTGGTATTAATTGTTAATAAATTAACAGAATTACCGACGTGATATTTTTATTTTTCTTAGTGATGATGTGACATTATCTTATGGTGACATGTCAATATCACGTTAAGTTTTTAACGACAGGATACCAAAACAAAGCCTAAACTAAACGTTAAATATGATTTTAAAAAAAAAAATTGGTACCAAAACGGAACAAAAATGGGTACCAAAACGGAACAAAAATAATATTTTAGATACTAAACATGTAGTTTACCCTTAACTTTTATAAAAATGTATAATTATCAGTTAATGATTATAGGCGTAGTGATAAAAGGTTTGTAAATAAATTTATTAATTTTTATTTAAATACTAAATTAGTTTTTAATTGCTTTATTTAATAATTAATGGAAAATAATATTTCTTTATATAATATTAACCGTTATTTTAAAAATAATATTTTGTGTTTTTCATAATTTAACTAATATTCTATTAAACATGACATTAATTCAACTGAAAATTTTATAATATATTGTTATTAAAATGGATTTGAACATCAAATGATAATGACAAGAAATGTAATAATTACATATCCTTAATATATGATGATTTTTAAGGTTTATTGAGACTCCCAAATAAATTTGAAGAAAATTAATCTTTTAAATTTATTTGATTGGAAGAATATAATTATATTGTAGTTTTTTTTTTTGTAATGTTTGGTAATATAATTTGTAATAAACAATTATGTAAATTAAAGTTTTAAAATAACATTGATTAAAAATTAACTTATATCAACTTTGAGAATATAATTAGAGATTCCCAATTGCATATAATTTAATAGAATTTAAAAATATAATTAAAATCTCTAATTTATATAATTTAATAAATTCTACGAATTACGATGATTATTATAACACACCACAAATATGCAATTACATGCATTTTTAATTATGCAATAACTTTTTAAATGTATCATAACATTTAAATTATATTTAATTAATAACATGTAATTAAAAAAAATTAGCTGATTCTTATTTCCATATGTAATGGGGTAAGGGGAGGTAGGATAGTAGGCTGCCTTCAATGTCAAGTTGAGAGCAGTTTCCGTGGGAGACCTCCGAATTATGAAATGTTTTCCGTGAGACTCGATCAAAAATAACATGTAATTACACAGTTTAATAAAATTAATTAATTGAAAAAAATTAATACACGAGAAAAATTTCTTAATTACGTTCAAATCTAATTAAGAAATAACTTTCAAATACGATTAACATCACTATATATTTGATCAGAAACAATTTATATTTTTAATATACCCAATTTATAATTTAGTTAAAATGTATAAAATCTCTCGCTAACAATAATTTATCTAAAATTAAATGAAAAACAGCAACAACAAAGGACCCTGTTTATAAAAGTAGAAATGCCTTTGTCATTTTGTCCCTGTCTGGCTCTTCCTCCAGTCTTCTCTATCTTTTAAATATTTTTCTTTCTATTTTCTGTTCTCAATAATAATTCCTCAGATCTCTCAATTTCTCATTCTATTTCGTTCCTTGATTTTGCTGCAATACGGTTAGTGTTTCATTTATTTTTCCAAGTTTTTTATATTGTGTGAATTTTGATTAATGCACGAAAAAGTAAAGAAAGTTTATGCTTTTTTTAGCTTGATTTGGGTTTCTGAATTTTTTTTGTCAGGATTTCCCGTTTCTTGGCTGTGATTTTGGTCATATGATAATAAGGTACGGAAAAGAGAAAACCCATCGTTTTTCCTTTTCTTCTCCTTCTTAATTTGAACTTGCATGTTGTTAACTAATTTAGATTTTTAATTGCTTGATAGATAACGGGCATTTAACAATTTGAGATTTTTTTTGTGAAACTATGGTTTTTGTTTTATTTTATTTGTGTTTATTCGAAATTATTACCAAAGAAGGAGCTTGGTAGGAGAGCTAGTGGGTTGCTCTTTAGGATTGGAAATCTTTTTACAAAAAAAAAAAAAGGTTGAAGTATATATATATATATATATATATATATATATATTTAAGATTATTAAATAATTATATTTTCTTTTCAACAGCTTTGATGTAGTTATACAAGAGGGTAAATACTGAAATTTTCTCCATTCCAGAGTTTGATAGGGTGATTTTATTGATTGAAAGCTTTTGGTGATGTGTTATTTTGAATGCATATTTTGATAGTGAATATTTCTTTTCCCATTCTTTTAGGGGAAAATTCAAGGTTTGATCATTGTGATATATATGACAACGTGAGGAAGGAGATGTATGAAAGTATCTTTGGGATGATTAGCCTTTTGAACTTTTGAGAATTGGGAAGATATGTCAAAACTCAAAAGGGGCCTTTAAGCTTTTTGCTTTATGGAAATGCTTGTTTCGACAAGAACCTAATCTATTTGAGCTCTATTTTAGTAGTTGAAAAATTAGTTCATACTTCCCTGGGCAATTCATTTTAGGCTAGGTCAAGAGAGCACAATGATAAGTATATTTTTGAGGATCCCTGCATTTGTCCTGGATTCTATTTCATGTGTACCCTTTCTTGGTTTGCCAGTGCTGCAATTTAAAAAGTGGATGTGTTAAATGCTCTTTGTATGCTTGCTTATTTTCCATTTGTGGAAGCAAATGGTTTACGTTTCTATTGAAATAGCACATATTATAAATTCCAAATAAATAGATGAGAAGGTTTTACGAGCAACTAATACTTTGCATGTCATGTATTTCAGCTCTTAAGATGGATAAAGAAGATACTTGTCCTGATTTTTGTTTTAGGTCAAATATGTGTTGAAGATTATGTTTCTAGTGATATAAAATTCCAAATAAATAGATGAGAACCTTTGATTAGCAAGTGATACTTTGCATGTCATGCATTTCAGCTTTTAAGATGGATAAAGAAGATGCTTTTCCCGTTTTTGGATTTACGTTGAGTATGCGCTAAAGTTTCATTTCATCGTTTTTGGCTTTAGGTTGAATATGTGCTAAAGTTCCTTTTTTGGACTTCGAAGCAGTGACAAGTTGTAGCAACAATTTATTGGAACACCATGGGTCACAGAAATATGCTATGCCCTAGCCAGATGATAGATTTAGAAATGGATCAGCGTGGCCAGGGATATCCCCATCACGAGCCCTGCATTATTTTGGGTGGCAGACCTAATTACCCCCCGCCTGATTTGCAGATGAGAGTCACAGCTCCAGGGAACACAACTACTCTTGATACTCATCCCTTACCGGATCATTATGACAACAGTATGTTCTATGGGATTCCCCAGTACCCCGGTGTTCAGCATCATAATCATTCCCCAAATCTTGATCTTGGTATTGGAAGTGCATCCAACTATTACATTCCCTATATGGCTAGCCCTTCGTTGGTTACTCCTGTAAATCATGGGCCCACAGACCAGACGCCATCTTCAAGCAACTATGGTCCTCTAGGAGTTTCAGCAGATGAATATGCTAGGAGTTGCCACTTCATGGATAATGTTAGAGGCTCATATAAGAGAAAGAATTCTGAAGGAATCCCAGCAAATTTTCAGCATTTTAATGCCTCACCAAGCTCTAGTTCCTCGGTTACACCATTAAATGCTAGACATCCTGAGGGAGTTGGCACAATGGATGTGGCACCCTTCACCATTCCTCAGTTTAGGGGGAATGGCCCTCCACCGATTAGAGAAGCTGGATCCCAAATAAGTGTTAGGAACAGATTAGGGGCAACTGCAGTGGATCCCGTTTTGATGCATAGTGCTAACCATGTTTTTCAAGGAAATTACATTGGTCAGCCTTTTCAGCCGACAATAACGGATGGAGGTGCCCCAGCTTGGACCCAGGCTCCTGGGGTTCCTTATATGCTTGGTAGTTTCTACATTCCTCTATTCTTTCCTTGTGTTGTTTAAGGACTTTCAATTTTAATTAGGTTACTTTCTGTAGATATATTTCTTTTATTGAAAACGGCTTCCATGTAAATGAGGTGATATAGGAATCTGTTTTGCCTTGAAATTGATTGCTGTGGACTCTTCACTGTCTTCCGTCTATGCAGGTAGCAACATGGCTAGACCTATGGAGAATAATCTTAGAAGTTCCGCAAACTTCTCTCAATTTTCTCCCCTTGATGTTCGGAACCATAACTTCCATCACCCTGCACCACCTATTGAAGGAGTAAGAAGTCATAGCGTTAACATTCATCCACAAGTAGCACCAGTTCCGCCTCGCTTCCCAGCAAGTTATACCTCACCAGGCTCCATGAATCCTTCACATGATGGTTGGCAGGTAGGGCGTAGGCATTTGGGACCAATGCCTCCTACCGGCTTTAGGATATATCATTCGCGCCGAGAGAGTGGTATTGTACCTGAGACCACTGTGAGACACCACAATCTTCCTCGTTTGAGAGTTCTTCCACCAGATGTTAGTACACCTTCATTTCTGAAATGTTATATATCTGTTAATTTTCTGTTTATTACTTCTTTTCTTTTCTGCAATCAGAAAAATGGAATTCATATACAGTGGATGTTTTTGGTTAATTTTTGGTTTGTATATATGGTGATATCTTTTAATTGATTTGGTGCAGGGAGTTGCTGTATTGGAGCTCCCAGAATTTTATGAAGTAGGAAATTCTGTTGATCACCACCGAGATATGCAATTGGATATAGAGGACATGTCTTATGAGGTAAGTTCATATATAATGTTGTCTTATGGTTTAACTTTATTTTTACTGACCGTCTATTGAAAAATTCTCCAAATCATCAATAGGAACTGTTGGCGCTGGGCGAGTGGATCGGAAACGTGAATACTGGTTTGTCTGAGGAAACCATTACAAGTAAATTGAAAACAAGAACTTATTCAACATTTGCTACAAATATTAATCTGGAAGAAGCAGCACCCATTGACCAGGAACCCGATTCATGCATTATTTGCCAGGTAATGAAGAGTGCTTAGAGCTTGCATAATTCTTTACCGATAAGCTTGAACACTGCACATCTCTTTCTTTGTTCAAGTTTGAAGCAAACATCTTCATTGCACGATACCATTTTATTCCAACGGATGGTAGATGCTATTTCTCTTGGATTTTTGCAGGAGGATTATAAGAACGAAGAGAAGATCGGAACTCTTGATTGTGGACATGATTATCACGCAGATTGCTTGAAGAAGTGGTTGTTTGTGAAGAACGTATGCCCCATTTGCAAATCCGAGGCATTAACCACAGAGTCCAAGAATGTATGATGGAGGCTACATAATTGAGGAAATAACAATAAATTACATAAAATGGATGATGTTGGTAGAATCAAGATTTGGGAAAGCTCTCCTATATGTTTCTAGATTGATATTTGGTAAAGTATTTTGTACATGAACTTGCAGATATCTCTAACAGACGGTCAATCCATTATTTGCTGGCTTTGTAATTATCAAACAATTGTACAGACGATCATTATGCAATTTCATGCTGTAATGTTAAACTTCAACTATGTATTCTTCACATTTTTTACTTTTTTTTCTATAATATTATGTTGAATGTGTTGCATTTACCTAATATTTTCATGTCTAATGTTTTAATCTTCTTGAAGAACTTCAGCCATTGAAATCCATTTCATGTTGTGCATAATACATGGACTAATGTCTTTTATCATTTTCAAGTTGTATAGTGTAAATGGCATTCACTTTAAATAAATTCAAAGGCACCTATTATGGAATTTAACATGTATTATCATAGATAATCAATATTTTATCATCCACAACTAAAGAAAATTATTAAAAAATCCCAAACTAGATCTGTCTGCTATGTAATCTAAAACAATCAAATACAACAACAACTATCAAAATTCAAAAATATGAAATGGAACATTACATGAGGAAGAACAATACCATAAGTGAACCGCGAAGATGGAACTGAAATCAAATGAAGGAAATTGGAAGCCGCTGTGTTCTCATTTGACTTCAACCTCAAATCTTGAGCTTAAAGAGATCAAACATATAACATCTAAGCAGAACAGCAGCCGACGTTCTTGACTGCTGAAACATCATCCTTGCCTCCGACGTTGATGGTTTGTCCCTTTGGCAATGCTGCATGATCATCCCCTACTTCAAGTGCTTTTCGACCGGCAACATGATATATTTATGTAAGTACTTCAGTGAATGCATTATCAACATTCACAGACTCAAGGGCAGATGTCTCCATAAAGAAGTTATTTTCTCTCTCAGCAAAGGCCTTCGCATCGTCAGTGGAAACTGCACGCAAGTGTCGCAGGTCTGCCTTGTTGCCAACAAGGATAATCAAGATATTGGAATCCGTGTGACCTCATAGTTCCTTCAACCATCTCTCTACATTCTCAAATGTGACATGTCGAGTGACATCATATACAAGCAATGCACCAACAGCTCCACGGTAGAATGCACTTGTAATCGCCTGGTATCTGCACAAAGAAAACAACAAGAAATCAACTATCGAAAAGCTTACAAAACAACCCAAAAAGTTATAAAAGAAAGCATGATTTGGCTATTCATAGATAAAATGATGGTACAAAATCATTTCTACTCCATTTTTAAACCAATAACGCTTCAAACACGACCTTGTTTTAATGCGTTTCCAGTAGGCCTGTAAATGAACTGAACGTTCAGCGAACCGTTCGTGAACCGTGCGGCGGGAAGTTCGTTTATGTGCGTTTATTTATTAAATGAACGAACATGAACAACATTTTTTGTTCGTTTAATTAAATAAACGAACATGAACATAGGTCTCGTTCGTTCATTTACGTTCGTGAACGTTCGATTATGTTCGTTCGGTTATGTTTGTTTATGTTCGTTCGATTATGTTCGTTTATGTTCATTCATTTATGTTTAACTCAATCTTCTTAAATCAATTTTGGTGACCAATTTGTAAGTATCTTAAAAATATTAATTAATCTGATATTCTGATGACCAACTCCATAATTAACCCAATTTTATTTGGAGATTAAATCCAATATGTTAACCTGTGAGGCACATCGCACCTATATTCATTTCCCCCTTTTTCCCCAAACCCTAGTGTTCACTAGAGAGTGGAGACGATCGTTGAAAGCTTCAAAACAAATTATATTATAGTGCAATATGAAGTTTTACAGGTATGTTTTCATCTCTTTCTCTGTTTTATTTGGCTTAATAGTTGATATGTAAAGTTATTGCAGGTATCTTCACATCTAAAACTCAAGAAAACATCATACTTCTTTCTAGAAATATATGGGAAGATAAAGGTAACAATCGAAAGTATATGAACATCAATAAAGAGAAAAATATATAGAATTTGCCAGAAAACAAAACAAAGGTTTCTATGCAATTTCTGAAAAGAGTGTAATAGCGAAAAATTATTGTTCATATGTAATCATGGACCACTAAGATAAATGTTATAGCGTTAAATTAAAGTTGTGTGAATCATTTAATATCTTTAAAAGATCGATCAAAATATTTAATATCTTCAAACATTTCATCACTGCTAATAAACTCTTACGCTATTTATCACTGTAGATTTGGTTATTTGCATTGTCGACTATTTTTCATGAAAGAACAATGGAAGGTAGGGTCTCCAACGTTTATGTTCGTTTATGTTCGTGTTCATTTATGTTCGTGTTCGTTTATGTTCGTGTTCGTTTATTTATTAAATGAACGAACATGAACATATTATATTCCTTAATAAACGAACATGAACAAAAAAAATTTTGTTCGTTTATGTTCGTGTCCGTTTATGTTCGTCTATTTATTAAATGAACGAACATGAACATACCTCCGTTCGTGTGCGTTCGGTTCGTTTACAGGCCTAGTTTCCAGCCAAGGCATAAGTTTCTTGTTCTAGGCAAAACTTAACATCATGATTCCATTTAGTAAACAACTAATGATAAAAACTTGCATAGCCAATTAACAGTTCAGAACCCAAGAAATTTCATTTCATGGAGAAACAACAAAGAAGTTTCATTTTATAACCTACAGGTTCTCGAAACAGGTTATATTTAATTTGAAAGGGTATCAAGTCTTGATATAGAAAATGAAGTATATCTAAAACTTTTACAATTAAAACTTTCAATTAATGAAATATATGATATTATGGAACTTCACTCTGGTATCTTCAAGAACATAATCAGTGCAACTAGAAAGCTCAATCGGAAAACATCCATGTATGCAATACATGCTTTCTTCTGGTCTCATGCATCATGGACAGTTAAAACGGTGTGGAAGACGTGCCCCTCTGGCATGCCAAGGTGCTTTTCATACGATTCCAAGCATTAAAGTTTACGGACAATAAGTCATTCATCGGAACTGAAACTGCACTATAAAGATGTCCTAAATTTCAGAATAATATGAAGAACATTATGATTTGAACAACGATAACTACTAGAATTAGCAACAGAAAAATACATTCTCTTGTACCCAGGGATTAGCCCAGTTGACTCATGCAGTCATGCAGCCACCCACACTTAAAAGGTGGCATTCAACAAGTATATGGTCTAGTTTTCTCAATTCTTAGGCTGTAAACTTCTTGGTGCCAAAAAATAAGTGACATCCTTCTAAAATGAATGATGAATAATAACACGATCCACAGCTAGGGTGTATAAATGTTATCATCCTCATTAAACCTATATTCTAACGATGCTTGCAGATGCAGTTGGTGATTCAGCTAGGAGGTTTACTCACCTTTCCATTTATGGATAAAGCTACAACATTAATAAACTAAACCAAGATGCAATACTTTTTGCAACTCATCTACTATTAAGCCAACTGTGGGATTTTGTATATAACCTAACAGATGCTAATTTCTAAACTAAATTGAATATGCATTATGCTCATGAAGAATTTTGTCTTTCAACTGTGCTTACATCAATATACCAATAAATATTTTAATAAAAACTAAGATTCACAAAATAACCAGGTCCAAAAGCTTTAACATAATGAAAACGTAAAAAAAAAATGAATGCATACACATTTTCTCAGCAAACAAACAACCGAGACAAAGAAAGAAAGAAAATCTTAAGCTAAAACCCATTTCATCAAAACAATACACAAATCAAGAAACACCTTTTCCTTAAAATCTTTCAATGTTTCAGGACTAATCTGAAAATTCGAAAAAAGAACAGCAAAAAAACATAACCAAAAAATAAGAATTTTTCATATATTTTCTCAGTTACCAAACAGCCCCAGAAATTCAAGTTTCCAAACACCGATTATACCAATCCAATAAAGCACCAACTCAAAAACGCTTTCCTAAAATCTCTCAAAATTACAAAACCCCTAAAAATAATTTAAAAAAAAAAGTGAAACAAGAGTAGTGATAAAAGACTATAAAAAAAGCTGTAAAAATGTACCTCTCTTGTCCGGCGGTATCCCAAATCTTTTCCTTAAAGACCTTATCATCGACCCGAATACTTCGAGTAGCGAATTCGACTCCGATTGTGGATTTGGATTCAAGGCTAAACTCGTTCTTCGTAAATCTCGACAACAAATTTGATTTCCCAACACCACCTTGAACAAATAATCGTAGTCGTCATCCGCTCTATACGCCGCAATATCGGGTCACCGAGTCGGGTTCTTTTATGGACTTTTTATATAAAATTTTAGTTTTTTTTAAAGGAAATTTTAGTGAATGGCAGAGAGAGATCGGTGGCATTGGTCTGAAGAATTTTTGAAATTGGGAAAATAAATAAGAAAATTCAGAAATATAATTTAACTTATATTTTATTAATATGTGATAAGTACACAATAATTCAAAAATAATTTTTAATTATTTGATATGATATTAAACACTTATGTCTTCAATATTTATATTTTTTAAACTCAAAATCTCAATAAATAATAATAATTTATTTACTATCAATCGTTTGATTTGCACAGAATTTAATAGAAAGAAGAGAAAATTAGATTTGGTGTGGGCCCAATTACTGGTTAGTGAATAGTGGGCCGAATTTATGAGTGGTAATGGCTGAAATGTGATTGAGTAATTTAAGTTTTAAAAAAATATAGTTTGAATATTTAAATAGTTCAGGTAAAGTTCTACAATGAATGTTGTATGCTGGAACATATCATTAACGTGATAAACTGAAATATATCATTAATTAAAATTATTCATATTAAATAAATATTAAATGATAAATTACATATTTAATACTTCAACTATCACTTTTATTTTGTTTTATTATCTAAACTTTATTTTTTTTCTTCAAAACCATTCATAACGTTTAAGTTTTAATTTGATACCCATCATTAAACACTTACCGACAATACTGATATGGCATTGCAAGTCAATTTTCTTTTATTTTTAAATTTCCACATCACCTATCAGGATAAAGTAAAAAAAATAATTCTTACTCCCAACATGAATTGAACTTGGGCCTCTTGTAAGGATGCTATATACACAATCATATGACTAAGCTAGTCATTTGAATTAATTTCACCATTTTTTTATTTAACTTATATAACAATATCACCAAAAATATAGATATTTACCGGTGATTATAAGATTTTAATATGAGACATTTTAAATTAATGACCGAAAGTTTAGTCACTCAACTATAATATGTTTTTTATTATACTAAATTTAATATTTACTTATATCGTTATTAAATTAAAAGATCAATTTTTCACTTTATCTAGAAATAAAAAATAATTAAACAATTTATATATTTTTATAAAAGTTATATTAAATCTTTTTGAAAATTTTGGAAAAGTATATTTATAATATTATAAAAACATTTTAAATTATTCTAATTAATTTTTTAAATCATATTATTTATTTATAATATTTTTATAATATTATAGATATAATTTTTTAAATAATATAATATAAATTTTATATAAATAGATAAATAATTATTTTTATTTTCAAAAATAGTTAAAAACTATTCTTTAATTTAATAATGATATAAGTAAGTATTAAGCTCAATATAATAAAAATAGATTCATAGTATAACTGAGTGACTAAGCTTTTTGTCATTAATTTAAACTGTCTCATATTCGAATTTTATAATAAAAAATATTGATTTTATGATGATAATTTTATATAAGTTAAATATGAAATGTGGTGAAACTAAGTCAAATGACTATCCTAGCTCAGTGACCTAAGTTCAATTTACATTGGTAGCCAAATTTTTTTTATTTTATCCACATAGGTGGTGATACGTCACCACCTAATTGATTGAATAAAATTAATTAAAAATATTAACAAAGAAAGAGAAAGATAAGGTAAAAATTTTTAAAAAAAATTGACATGTAATGCCATGTCAGTATTGTCGACGGGTACCAAATTGAAACTTAAATTAAACATTCGATATGTTTTGAAAAAAAATAAAGTTTAAGTACTAACATAGAATAAAAGTGATAGTTTAAATACTAAACATGTAAATTCTCCATATTAAAAAATTCAAGGACCTCCATAATTAATCTAATTATAATTAAAATAAAATTATTAAAATAAATTAATCATGGATTGATTCTTCAAATTTTTTTAATATTTACTTAATAAGTACAATTTAATTAATAATATATTTAATGAATTATGTTAGTAGTGTGTTTCGATGTGCGACTTCCATTGTAAACTCATATATAGATCAGTGTATAATTGAGTTTTATATTTTTAATATACATTTTTATGATCTTAATTAAAATTGAAAAATAAACTTAACTTTTTATTACATACGAAAGAAAAAGGCGTGGCTTAAATGTTATTGGTAAGTTTCAGCTACACTAATTGCAGTTGCATGTTGTGGGAGCCATTTGAATTAGGGTGAATGTTGGATCGAGTTTAATTGAGTCAAGTTAAATTTTATTTTAATTTATTAAATTAATTAGTCATATTTTATAATTTAAATATTATTTAAAATTTGAATAGATTGTTTGAATTTTTGTTTAAATCTAATGATACATATATTCATATAACATGTGTATATTTATTATACGATAAATAATATTTGAATAGAAATACAGCGTCTGTGTTGTTTAGATTACTCGTGGTATGCACATGCAAGTCAATGTTTAGCAAAGCAAAGAATATTGAATTTTTGTTTACATTATGTGATTGTTTTAAAAGCTTGATCGTGAGTGGATCCCAATGTTTTGAGTACAAAACCTTTATGTAAGCCAGCTGGTTCCTATATTTTCAGTTGTTTTAATTGTAAATTAAATTCTGATCAATGGGATCAAAGTAGTGGGTGAGGTTGATGAATTTTACAAGTATACTATCAACGGTTTATTCTTTCAGTAAAAGACCAGCATTTTTTACTGAACAAAAGGGTAATGAAAGATGTCTACTAGTACCTTTTCAATTAATTATTATTAGAGTAAGTATAGTTGACTAGTTGATTATGTTGTTCATCTTTGTTTCTCATATTCTTTGGATTATGGATTCTAAACCTATTAAGAGCACTCGTCTTTCTTCTCATAGGATCTCTCTCATTCTCCTTCCCTTTAAGTATGATTATGATTAGATTTAGAATTTATAAAAAAAATATAATAACAATTAATATTCCTTAAACACTTAATTTTAAAAAATACAATGAAATACATGTAAAGACATTAACGGAGTCAGTATATTATAAGGATGTTTGTTGACACTTTAATATTTTTTAAAAAATTACCTATATAAATTAGATGTAATATAATATAATATAAAAAATGATATAATTTAAAAAAAATTGAAACCTTATAATGAATTGATGTCATATTTTCATAAAATATTTAATACTTTTTAAAATTGATATGTTAAATTAAATTTTCTAGTTCCGCTCTATAGTAAAGGTACCCCGAAACTAAAAGGAAAAAAAAGGGGGAAAATTAGCCTCCATGTGAGTGTGATTTAGGGAGAAAGCAAAGAAACTGGTGGGCTCTTGCAAACATTTCACATGGGACATGATTCTTACAACTTCCTTTTCTTCCACAGCTCACACCACTGCCCCAAATACATTCTACTAATATAGTATTTATAATTTATTATTTTAAAATTTAAAACATACGATAATATTTAAATAATATATATGCGATATATCAAATAATCTCATGAATAAAATCTATATAGAATTAATTTTTTAAATAATCTTGATTATAATATAATACATATTTATATTTTTTAATTATCGGTAACGTATATATCTACAGACATAATTATTCTAATCTAAAATCTAAAAATAATTTTTTTTTCATCACTAAAATTACTAAATTGGAAAGACTTAAATGTACGTAGATGGGAGAAAATACTTAGAAATGAGAAATGTAAGGGCAATGGATAGAGTGGTCACATCGGCACGCGGTATTGCCGATTCCTCCGCTTATTAAGCTCCCGCTACGAGTTTGGCAGGCAGGAAAAGCAAGGGCTCCCTTCTCAGTCCTCGCCCAGCTGTTGCTAGCTGTCTCTAATCCCTTCCATGTGACTCCCCTCCCATTGCCCTTTTCTCCCCATTTATTTAACTATAAAACAATATCAAACACATTACTTATTATAAAATAAAATTTAGGAGTAAACTATATTTGTGATCATTAAAATTGTATGATACTTTCATTTTGGTCACCAAACTTTAAAACATTGTATTACAATTATTAAAATTTTAATTCATTTTTATTATTGTCACCGAATTGGCATCACTATCAAGGCCAACTTTTCGTTGAATAGAGTGACCGCTGGTCAATTCTAACAATAATTTTTTTTGTTCGATCAAAAGATTAACATGATTTGATTTCAAGCTAGTCTGACAATTGATAATAGCATATTATAAAGTTTTAGCCTTTAATTTTGATTGAAATTTGAAGATATTGAAAGGTTTTCTCACGAATTTAATCCAATGAAGAAGAAGAAGGGTAGGAGGAGTTCATTGATCTTTTCAATAAGATAAATTATTAACTATTGACATAAGAAATAACAAGAATTGCTAATTATTTTAGAGTTTTTTAACGTGTAACCTCTATCATTAATGTTTTATCCGTCTAGTGAATAAATGAAAGTTTCTTTTTTATTTTGGTGGCCAAAATGAAAGAACTGTAAAAGTTGAAATTAAATTTAAACAATATCAATAATAATAATAAAAGAACCATTGAGAAAGGAAGAAAGGATTGCCTTAAAGACTGTGTTATGGGGTCCTTCTTTCCGTTTTAGTGTCAACCTTTCATGTTCTGTGACGGACAAATGTTGAGATTTTGAAGCATATTGTTGTGTTGGGCGTTTTTTGTTAGTTAGTTGGTTAGTTTTTAGTGATTATGAATAGGTTTGGTTTGGAGATTGAGGTGGCATTGTTTGTATAAATTTTCTTGTGTGGGTTTTTGAACGATTAGCTTTAGAATGGCTGAATTACCTCCCAAAATACCACCCAACATCACCCAAAACTGGTCTTCTTTTCCTCACGACAAGATGCCCGCAATGCCAAACTTCTTTTCCACCACCATGAACGGTTCAAATTGTTCAATCCAACACCACGCCTCTTGGGTGGACGAGTTTCTCGACTTCTCTTCCGCCCGTCGTGGAGCTCACCGACGTTCCATGAGCGACTCTGTAGCCTTCCTCGAGCAACCTTTGGTGGTGGATGAATGCAGGGACTCCGATGCCATGATGACAACGACGAGGACTAAAGAGACGAATATGTTCGATCTTGTCGACGACGACCAGCTCTTGTCCTTGTTCTCCGACGATGTCCCCGTCACCATGGCGGCGCCCACGTTATCCTCTTCGAACCCTTCGACACCGTCTGATCAAAATAGCAACAATGACGGGAAACCAACACCGTCAATGGATCTGCAACAACCTAAAAATGAACCGGGGGAGGTCGAGAGCTCACGCAAAATTTCCTCTGCGGAAGCTGCAAAAGCTCCAACACCATCCTCCAATGGCGATGCTACCATCATTGATCCCAAAAGCGTTAAGAGGTAAGGATATATATAACAATTAAATTAATTAAAACCCATTGTATTAAACAGCTTGAAACTTAATTTTGATGATCAGAATTCTGGCAAACCGGCAGTCAGCTCAAAGATCAAGAGTGAGAAAGCTTCAATATATTTCACAGCTAGAAAGAAGCGTTTCAACGTTACAGGTATATAAATATACATATTTATATAGAATCATAATTTAGTTTTAGTTTTTGAATTTGTTTTGGTTGATGGAAAAATGAAGAGTGAAGTGTCAGCATTATCACCAAGGGTTGCATTCTTGGATCATCAAAGGTTGATTCTCAATGTTGACAATAGTGCTTTGAAACAAAGGATTGCTGCTTTGGCTCAAGATAAAGTTTTCAAAGATGGTAATACTTGTAATTTTAACTTTTTAATTATAATTGGCAAAAAAGTTTATTTATATTTAATATACTATTAATCATCTATCATTTACCCTTTTAAACCCTTTGAGCAGCTTATCAAGAAGCATTGAAAAAGGAAATTGAGAGACTAAGACAAGTCTATCAACAACAACAAAATCTAAAGAACATGCACACCACAGCCACCAACCACTGCCCTACACCGCCACCACAACAACAACCGTCGTCTCTGCCGTCACCGTCAAAAAATGAAGACTAACTTCATCAAACGAACGGAGAGAGCTAGGGTTAAAAAATGATTTAACATTTTTGTGTATTAATCCTTTGGGAAGAAGGGTTTTGGTTTTTGCTAATTTTTATATATTTTTAATTTATAATAATGAAGATAGTTAACCTTTTATTGGGGGGGGGTTTTAAAAATTGTAATTAAATGGGAGGTAAGACTTGTGGAGATTTTAAGGTGTGGGGTTGCTTTGGGATGCATGAAAAAAGTTCTTTTTGTCAGAGACAACTGATTTTTACTGTCTGATTGCTTGTCTGAAAAGAAGAAGATAAAAAGAATGGCTTGTTGGTTTTATCTTTAATTTCTATAATATTTTTGTTTATTAGTTTATTTGGAAAATATACGTATTCATACTTTACTGACTATTTAAGGTAGTTTGCCCTTCTTTTTATCACTGATTATATCCAATCTGGACCTTCCTAAACGTCAGTTATGTGCAACTTATAAATGACGGGTCAGAATTGTGGGACCCATCTTACTCATGCAGGGAGAATTGTCACACCCAATTTAAGGGTTAAAAAATTAAGAAATTATAAAGTATTGATTTTAATTGGTATTATGGGAAAAATTGAGGGTTAAATTGTAAAATTTCAAAGTTAACATACTATTTTAGGAAGTGTAAAAAATTCAGTGACCAAACTCCTAATTTTACAATTTTTCTTTAGGAGAAAATGATAAACCCCGGTGATCAGTTCCCAGAAAATTCTCATTTTCCTCATCCGATCAACCCACTTTGAGCTCTGATCTATTCACTGTCTGACCACGGTTCGACGAATCGAAACCATCATCGTGTTTGTTGTCGACCGACGAACAAAACCCCTCAAATCTTTCTTCGTGAATCGGCGTTGTTTGTCATAAATCTTAATCGAAAGTATCGTCGGTTTTCACTCAATTTTCGTTGTTTTTTCGTCGATTTAGGCCAATCCGACCACCCGTTTTCAACACCTCTCGCACCATCGTGTTACTTGCATTGTTCCGAGTTCGCCGGTGTCCTTCTTGTCTCTGTCGTCGCCGGCGCGTGAAGGGGTGAGGAAGTCAAAGTTTCCAATGTTCCGGAATCGAGCTCTCCACTGTTCAAAATTATGAACCGAGCTTGGTAAGTGTCTCAAAATGCCATAAAATAATTTTTAGACATTTTTCGGAAATTTTTCGGACACCGTAGCACTGCTCACGCGCCGCCCCTACGAGTAGGGGAGGTTCGAAAACAGTTGGGGTACTTGACTCGGTTTAACCCGACCCGTTTGATCCGACCGTTGACCCGACCCGTTGACCGCTGACAGTTGATCGTTGACTTTAACAAAAAAAATAAAATTTTTGAAAAGTCATATTTTATGTTTTTCGACGTTCTGAGTTCGATTCCGAAGTTCATTTTTCCAAATTCGAACCCGAAAGCCTCGAAATTGTCAGTCAAACCCGTTGACTTTGACTTTAACCAAAATGTCAAAATTTCTAAAATGTCATATTTTATGTTTTTCGACGTCCTGAATCCGAAGTATGTTTCGTCATATTAAAACACAATAAGTTGTTTTTCCTTGATTTATCACCTGATTCGATCCATTTTTCGTTATTAAACTCCGTTTTTAATGAAATTTCAGTTGATATGTATTAAAGGAATTATTGGAAGTTGATTTCAAGATCAAGGGCATTCGAATGGAATTTATATGGTCGATCAGTATGGCACGGAAATCGAAGTAATACATTACTATCTTTTCATGTTTTATGAAACATGTTGGTATTGATAAATGCATGAATGGAAATGTTTGGTTTTATCTGAATAGTTAATTAATTTTTACACTCGATACCAATGCAGTAGAAAGTCGGTAATTGAATATGGCTCAGATGACTATTATAAGAAATTGGAGGACGGTTGGATTTAAATTACAAGTTCTGGGATTAAGTGATAAAGGAATCAACCATGGATATATAAATTATAATTTATCTCATTAAAGGTACTAGGATGATAAATTATGAGAATACTTCGATTAGGTAAAATTACAAAATTTCTCTTGAGAGAGAAAAGTAGCCGAATTAGCCCTGAATGAAAAAGTACTCAAAAAGTTATGCCTAAATCGATGAATTAGTAGTTTCATCGTTAAGTTATGTGTTTATACAGAAAATTCCTAATAATCCATAAATCTCCGAGTTATAAGTAAATATCTGAAGAATAATTTATCGATGGCACTCTTTTGATAGAATTGTTCGAAAGAAATGAAATAAATAATAAGTTTGAATTTGATAATAAGATCGGACGAAAGGAAATGATTGTAATACATTAGATCTATAAAATGATCAAAATATCCCTGGAATGGAAATGACCAAGAATATCACCAAACTCATGAATGATTGGATATACTCGATCTATGAAATTAATGGAATAAAACTGAGCACCAGAATGACCAAAATACCCTTATGGCCTAAACTAAGTAGATGTTTTGGATTAATTAAGGAATCCAAGTAAATATGAGTGTTATATTACCCTTAAGAGTTATGGAACACAACTTAAGTGAGCCGATCAACCTTAATGACATGTCAGAACCTGAACTACATAGATATTACTTGAATGTGTGTTCATCTTCTCAAGTTTGGCTCGATCATAATTCTGAAAGTATTCAGCTCAGCTCAACTCTAGATCGCATTCGGTACTAAGAAGTGGATATTCGTTAGACAAATCAACTACGAATACCAAATTGAACTGAACGGAAGTATAATATGTAACGAAGTTCAGAAACGTCCGAATTACTCTGGAAAACTATAAAGTAACCGAGATTGACTTGACTACTAAGTGATCTTAGTAAGCTAAATGACTGAGGATTAAATAAGTGATTTGGATGAGTTTGAGAATGCTAATGAACTTACATGATGTACTGTTCTTCTGGGTCATGAGCTACAAATCAAGCACGTCAACATTTCACGATATTGTGGAAGCGTGAAAATGAAATAAAGACATTGGAAGATCTATTCAGCAATGATTCTGAAAATGATCTATGGACAAGAATTTGTGGTATTAAAGAGTAAATACCCTAGAAGGACAATGAATTGACCAGTCGACAAGCATTAGTTATGGGAGTTATTCATCTGGAGTTGTTCGATAATCCAATGAATCGACATAGATTGTAAAGGTTATGAATCTTCGTTCTCCCTTATCAGCTCAAACCACTATGGGCATATCTGAAAACACAAGTAACTCATATGTAAAGGATTCTGAATACCCTTATGATTACATTGAGCTTCCGAAAAATGTACGAATAAAATATGATCATGATAAATCATATTTTGAATAACTGATGATTCTGTCAGTTAATGAACTCTTCTAACAATGATTCTAACTTTCGACATTCTATCGGTAAACTGAAGATCTGTGTTTCTTCGCCCGATAAGGTTATCCAATATCTCTTAATAATATCTGGAAACTCTAGTGTGTTCCTTACTCACATGTATATTTTATCTTATTTCCGATTTGAATTCTGTTCTGACATCTGATCTGAAATCTGTTTTGATTCATAACCTGGATTCTATTATGATATATGATTCAAATTATGTTTTGTTTTATGATATCTCCGTTTATTGACGGTAAATATTTTATTTGGGGGTATTGTTGGAGGGTTTATATCTGCAGGTTCCTCAACTTTGTGCTCAGGGCATTATTGTTGTGTAGGGGGTGATATTTGCAGGTTTCTCGGCTTTGTGCTCAGGGCCTTACTATTGTGCAGGGGTGTATGGTTATGTTGAATCTATACATTATGATGTGTTTGGTTGGAGGGATTACTATGATTTTTTATAAATAAAAATATGTTTTAAAAAGATATGTATCTTTTCACTGGTTTTGAGGGAACACATTAGATAACCTATTATGATCTCCTGAACTCTGTCATATGAAATATTTCTCTAACTGAAAGCTCACTGTCTGTTATTACCTGAAATATAATAGGATTTCCGCTCAACATAAAAATCTGTAGATATCTGAACCAATAAGGAAATATATGCTTATCTGTATATGCACATTCTTCAATATTATCTGATAGTTCTGTATTACTGAGCTTTCCAAAACTCACTTTATGACTCACCATTGAGGTTAAAAGAATTGTACCAGTGCAGTTATCAACTTCAGTAAGGAAGTTCTTCCGGCGTTGTTTGCAGAGTATGATACATGTGATTAGGGGGCATGTAATTGTATTTTGTTTTATATACAAGTCTGAAAATCTTCTTTATTTCTGCATACTGATAAATCATTTTACAAGTTACATGTTTTAATAAAAGTTTTAAAATTTTCTCTATTTTTACAGTGGGTCGCTCCGGTAGCCCTAATGTGACACTCCAGATCGGATCAAGTTACCCGCATCGGTATGAGGGGGTTACAAAATCTTTTTTTTTGTTACAATGCAGGACAAATATTTTTTTTCTTCTTACAATGCATGACAAATCTTAAATCATATCCACATGCAATAGTTTGGGGAATAAGCATATTTGAAAATATTATATTTTCTTAACATTTCAGATTGGTATAATTTAAAATAGAGAAAATAACCTCAGTGACCAAAAATGTCTTATAATATACAATTTTAACCAACTTTTTTTGGATTTGCAAAAATGACCAACTAAATCGCAATGCGATCGATAATTCGCAACGCGATCTCCGGTATCGGAAATCAGTTTCCAGATTCGCAACGCGAACTTCGACTATCGCATTGCGATTTACATATTCGCATTGCGATAATCCAAGTTCACGTTGAGATTTATTCCAAGTTCGTTGCGATAGTCAAAGTTCACGTTGTGATTTATTCCAAATTCGTTGCGATAGTCGAAGTTCGCATTGCGATTTATTCCAAATTCGTTGCGGTAGTCCAAGTTCGCGTTGCGATTTATTCCAAGTTCGTTGCGATAGTCCAAAATCGCAACGATGGTATTGCATTTGTTTCTTAAGAATTTTCTATAGTATTCGCGCGGACGTGTCGAAGACACGTATTACCACGACCACGACCACGACCACGACCCGACCCGAGACGAGATGGACGGCGGCGCGTGAGAGTCCCCCTTGTTCTCTATCACTCAACAAGGAAGTGGGAAAACCAAGCCTTAAATACCATTCCCAATAGTGTTTCCAATACTATGTGGGATTGAGCATTACCAACACTTGTTCTCAATACTATGTGGGATTGAGCCTTAAATAGTGATATTATTTTTGAATGTTTTGCTTAAAATTGCAATAATCGCGATTGATTGTAGATTGACTTTTAATTATGACATATTTAATCGTATAATACTAATGCAATTGGTTTCTG